ATTCGGCCAATCACAACGCACTGGATAGCTGGCCAATCAGAGCATACCTCGCTTTTCAGACCAATGAGGTTTGTAAAAATCGACGCGTTTCAGAAGGCGGGGCATACAGGAGAAACAATAATGTACAGTATGTGGAAAATAATGTGTTTTTTTTTACTTTAAACTGCATAAACACATTTCATTACACCAAATACACAAAATAATGTTCTTTTTAGCAGCATCATATGACCCCTTTAAATGGAAAACAGTTATTTTAGATTGTAATTTACTTGTTTTAAAAACCAGTAACAGTAACATGTTTGAATGGTAGTGAGTCTGTTTGGAATAGAATTCGGTATCAGTATACCAGGAACTCAATATCAATATATGAATATAATTCAATTCAATTCAAGTTTATTTGTATAGTGCTTTTTACGATACAAATAGTTGCAAAGCAACTTTACAGAAAATTACGTTTCTACAATATTTAGTAGTAGCTTATCAGTGGTGACTGTCAGTTTATGTACGTATGGCAGAAATGTATGGAAAAATCAATTAAAGACGTAATCAAACAGACGATGAACACTATTAACAGCAATTATTATATGATGCAATCAAACTTATAGCAAAATGTGGTTGAATAAAAGCTTTATAAACAATAACATACTCACTGTTGGTTGTGTTTGTTTTAATACAGTAATGACTGATTCAATGTATTTGATAGTTACAATTACTACAAATTCAGGTTTTCGTCACCACCGTCAGATGTGTCTACTCCGTCAGTTCTGTCACCTCCGTCAGTTGAATATTTTGATAATATTTCATTATGATATTTTATATTTGTTGTGGAATTGTTGGTCACATGTGAAAGTGTAATCTGTCTGCTAACAAGAGAATGTGTTTTGATATAAAACATCTTGAATGCTGTTAAAGATAAAGCTGAAATTATATTTATTAGTCCAAGGTAAAAAAAATAGAGATCATTTTTTTGCAGGAAGGAGCGCAATTGAGCAGACACAACTTTTTCTAAAATTTTAGACATAAACGGATGATTTGAAATGGGTTTGTAAATTGCCAGTTCACTAGGATCTAGTTGTGGTTTCTTAATAAGAGGCTTAATAACCGGCAGCTTGAATGGTTTTGGGACGTGACCTAAAGATAACGACGAGTTAACAATATTGAGAAGCGGTTCTTCTGCTACAGCTAAAAACTCTTTCAGTAATTTAGTGGGTACAGTATCTAACAGGCATGTTGTTGGTTTAGATGCAGTGATAAGTTTATTTAGCTCTTCCTGTCCTATAGTTGTAAAGCACTGCAGTTTATCTTTGGGTGCGATGAATGAAGCTGAAGTATTATACGCTGTAGAATCTACATTTGTTATTGTATGTCTGATGTTATCTATTTTATCAGTGAAGAAATTCATAAAATCATTACTACTAAACTGTGAGGGAATATTTAGTTCGAGTGACGTCTGATTATTTGTTAATCTAGCCACTGTGCTAAATAAAAACCTTGGATTGTTTTGGTTATTTTCTATGAGTTTGTGGATATGCTCACAGATGGATCATCTGCAGTGAATGGGTGCTGTCAGAATGAGAGTCCAAACAGCTAATAAAA